GGCCGGCTGCGGGAGCCGGCACTGGGGCCGCGGCTCCGAGGCGGGCGCGGCGGCAGGGGCGGCTGGTCTCCGGCGCCCGGGGCTGGCTCTCCCATGGCAGCGGCTTCGCGAGAGACCTGTGAGAGGAAGCGGAGTGAGTGGGTGCGCCCCGGTTGTCTTCCCAGCTACCTCCTCCGCCTAAGTAACGCCCATCCTCAGGTCGGCCGGCACCCTCACTCACCTGGAGCCGCGGGTGCGCCTAAGTGGCCCCGGATCACCCACCAGCGTACCGTCCGGCTGACACTCGTCTCTTGATTCCTGCTCTTTCCTGCCGAGTGTCCTAGCACCTTCGGGGTTGTCACGAGATTCCGGAGCCCTGACCCTGGGCAGACTTTCCCGGCAGCGGGCGCCTTGAAGCTCGGGAAGGGAAACTTTCACCGGGCCCCGAGCCCTGCAGCGCGCGCCGCCGAGCCCTCGCGCCTCGGCTCCAGCGACCTCTCCGCTCTCTCGGGACCGCAGTTCCCTCCTCGCTCCGAGAGACGAAGCGGGCTAGAGGCGAAGGAGGGGGAGGGACGCTTTATACGGGACCCAGCTCCCGGCAAAGCGGATCTTCCTCTGTCGTTCTTGGCCTAGGCACAGCGAACGTTCCCATCTTCCCGGCGGCGGCGCACGGAGCGCCGCGCGACCTCGCGGCGGCGGCGACGACGGCGGCTGCTCGTTCCATCACCAGAGGATGCCCCGGCCGTAGCACAGACGAGCCCGCCGCGCCTTCGCCTCGGACTGGCCCGGGAGGACTCTGCATATGCAGTCTAGACTAAGGAGCCTAGGTCCGCAGCACTCCCTGCCCGCCCCGCCCCCGACACCAGCCGCTTTTGGCCCACAAGGTACCCAAGGAGAGGAAGCCACGATCGCCACCACCGCTGCCGCGCGAAAGCGGCGCCGGGAGGATGCTGCTACCCGACTCCCCCTACGCCGAGCGCCCGCAGAGCGCTCCGCCCGGCCTCTGCACGGCTCCTGCCAGCCGGCGCCGGGTTGGTGCGCGCCCCTGTCTGTCGCCGCGGCTCCGCCCCTCCACCGCTCTGCCCTCCTCTGCCGCGGGTCCCACGCCCGCCCCCCTTGCGGCGCCGGATCCGGTCGCCGCCTCCTTGGGGACTGGGGACGCGACCTGCTTTACCTCTGCGCCGCCCAGGCTTTCCCCCACAATTCGGAGGGCTCAGATCTCCGTGCATAGGGCGCGAAGGGCGCGGACGCAGGATTCGCAGCTCTCCGGCTCCCGGGACTGCAAAAGCCTGGGATTCTGCGTGGCCGCCGGAGTTGACCCCACGTTCTGCACTGGAAAAGAGTTGAAGATAAAGTTTGCGCCGAAGTCCCCTGGCGGCTGTACGCTCCAACCTTGGAGAGCATTTCCTCCGGGAACTGAAGACGCAGCACGCCGGGGAGCCTCAGAAGAGAGCGGTTCCCAGGCTCTTGACACCCGGCTCGCCCTTTTCAGTTGGTCTGTTTCTCCCTCGAAGGGGAAGTAATAAATCTTTCTGGCCCCAGAGTTAAAGAAGACACTTCAGCTTTCCTGAGGGTGTACCGCAGGGAGGCTCCTGCGCGTTTACTGGACCTGTGTACCGCGCTCCTTTAATCTCTGGCTTTGGAGTGCTGCGTCCACCGTAATTACCAACCTCCGGAATTGGGGTGTTGGAAAGGGGGCGACTCTGTTCTAATCTAAGGTAAAAACACTTGCCCCATTTTTTAGCTTTTCGAGATGAGCTCAAAGACCTTGACCTCAAAGGAGACACTGTTGGAAGTTGAAAGCCAGTTTTTTAGCTAAAGTACTTTTTGTCAAAGAGAATTCTGAACCATGGCCTCAGCTTCATCTGTAAAGTGGGGACAACTACCACCTTCTGAGGGGAAACCAACGAGCGATTGGATGTTAGGGCGAGCACTGGAAAGGTCAGACCTCATCCCAGGCCTGGAGATGAGAAGACAAATTGCTGTGGGACCAGGAGGTCAGTAGCAGCGGGTACAGCGAGGACCGCGCAGAGGCGTTTAAATTGCCTCCTGTCCCACTGGAGTAGCTACTAACAAGTTAGCGTTACTGCAGAATTATTGTTGTACTACTTAAGAGTAGCATCTCTCAGCCAGAGGACCCTCCTACATTTAAGATGTTGCTGTTAGAGCCATTGTTCTCCAAGGATTTACAGAATCCACCGAATACAAGAACTCTGGGAAAGTGAGCTGGGTCGTTTTCCGTGAGTTTTCACCTCTTTTTCAGTTTCAGGTTAAAAAAAAAAAAATTCAAATAATTTGACTTGGTCCCCTTTTCCAGGGGAAAGAAATCTTTAACATCACTCATAGAATCAACTTCATTTAAACTCCTTACCCCACCTCGTGGATTTGAAAAGGTGTAAGGAGGCGCAATGGGGCAGGAGTTGGGTAAAGCTCTAGTTTTATTTGTAGGTTTCTCAAGGAGCCTCACATGCCCCCGGAAGTTGGTTAGGACAGAAAGAAAGTGTTTGTCCCTCTTTACAGATGAAGCTGGCAGATTTTCAGTGAGAGGCTTCCCGCCTCTCTCCTCTGGCTCCTACTTCATTGCCACTGCTGCCGCGAATATCCCGGTCCCTTCTTCCTTCTGCTGTTTCAAAAACAAAACCAAACAACCCCAAACTGAAGTTCTGTTATCCCAAGAAAAACAGTGAGTTGAGAAGAAGAGAATAACTCAGTATTTTAGCATGGTTCCAAGGAAAATAATTTCTAATAGTTTTAGTTTAGTATCTGCTTCGCTGATTACCCAGTAAACTCTGAACTGCAGCTATTTAAGGTAAGAATCTTCTTTAAAACAATTTTTTGCACAGAAACAATTTTGTTGCAACTTCTAAGGTTTTCCTGCAGTTGGCAAAATAGTAAATCCATTTGCCAGACGCCCCCACCTTTGAGTGCTCAGCTGCCATAAACTTACAGGTTCTGGCATCTCCACCCTCCCCTTGCAAATATTTTGCCATTTTGCAGGGTGTTGTGATTAATTGTGAACTTTGTGACTGCTAAAGACAGAGAAACATGATAATGCCTTCCTTCCTGAATTCTGAAATTCCTTTCGTTTTAATCGGCTTATCCTGTTAGCCCAGTAATGGCCCAGACATAGAATCAGTCACATAATAATTTCATTTACAGAAAAGCCAGCCATGCCACAGCACTGTCTTTAACTTCAGCTCACTTTGGAGTTCCCTGCAAGTCGATCTTCTCAAATATGTAGCTTCATTCTCTCTGCCGCTTATTTTATGGCGAGGAAGCTGCTATTGGAGACATGCTGTGGTTTTCTTTTTCTTTTTCTTTCTTTTTTTTTTCCCCCACAGTACAGAGAATTGAGCCCAGGGCCTTCACAGTAAGGGTTGGAACTATATCCCCAGCACCTATTCCCTTTTTTTTTTTTCCACAGGGTCTCACTGAATTGCCCTGTTTGGGCTCAAACTTGTGATCCTTCTGCCTCAGCCTCCTAGAATGCTAGGATTACAGATGTGCACCACCAACCTATCAGAAGTGCGGTGGATCCACCACCCACTCAGCCTGGGAAAACTGCAAGGAGATCTTCAAGACCCTTCTGCCACATCTGAATGGGGACCTATGTGAATTTACCTGGACAGTACCATCCAGGCTTCTCTGTGTCACTGGGGGCTTAAAGATTCACCTTTGGGAAATTTCTGTCCCTGAGCACCAAGACAGATTCATTCGTTCCTTCATATTTTCAGCAAGTATGAATTTTTAGTGAAACTTAAATGCATAGAATCAAATTGAGACATTCCATCTTCAGTAGTTCAATAAAAAGGGTAACCCTTTTTATGTTTTAATATAATAAACATATTAACCCATCAAACAGAACCTCCAGAGATAACCACTCTACTTCAGTTTAGAAATTTAGATGAAATAGTCATGTTCCAAGAGGAATACTTAAAAAAAAAAAAAAAAAAAAAAACTGGCCTTAACAATCTCAAAAAGAAATATCCTGAACAATTTTGGAATTACTAAGGAACTGAAGCAGCCACTTAAAGTATTCCCATAAGAAAAACAACAGGCTGTGGCAGATAGACTTAAAGGATATAATCAAACTTTAGATAGCCTCTGTCTTCTATCTTATGCAAACTCTTCCACAGAGTACAAAATAAGAGAATGTTTTCCCAACTCATCCTACGGGGATATGAACTCAAAGGGAATTTCAGAGAAGAAAATAGACCCATTCATTGACTAAAATATTCATAAAACTCATTAAATATCAGCAAAACTAATGAAGTCAGAGGGGCAGACAGTGCACTACACCCAAGTCAAGCTTATCCCAGCAACATAACCATGACCTTAAGTATTTGCTAAGCACGTACATGATGCCAGGTGCCATCTCTCACTGTGGGACACAGGTATGAAGCAAAGCTGGTTTCCCATCCTCATGGAATTTGCTCTCTTGGGAGAGACATTCCATATACGTGCATTTTTTAAAAACAGGATTACTATTGGACATTGCTTGAACAATTTGCTCTCTGTGAAAGCCTGGGAGAATGTTTTCTCTCCAGGTGACTATCCTTAGGCACATTCTACAATTACAGACTACTGGACTATATAGGATTACTTTGCTGAGTTCATGCCCATACAATATATGAATGGCAATGGAATACCCATCTCCGACAAAAGTAAACAAAAAAGGGGGATATAAATGAAGGTCCATTTTGTAGTGAAAAAAAGTATATATCTGTATACAAAATAGCATTGATATATAGCTACTATCTCTTAGTTCAATGAGAAGAAAGTTTTATTGTAAATGTCCTACTAACCTGTTTTGAAACTCATTGCTAAATAAACTTAATATTTTTTAAAAAATGGAAAAAAAACAGGATTACTTTAAACATTGATGGGTACTAAGAAAGAAACATAACAGACTGATGTGGTAGAGTGACTGAAAGATGCTACAACACCTTTAATTGGGAAAGTGATCTGTACAAAGGGGAGGTGACTCTTGAACGAGCAGGGAACTGGGTGAAAACTGAAGGATGAGAATTTTATTTCTGTGACACAACAAGTGCAGAAGCTCTCATGAGGAATGAGGTTGGTGTATTTGACAAAGAGCAAGAAGTCCTGAGTGCTGGCGCCCAGCAGGTGAGCCCGAGGAATCCCTCCCAGTACGTTGCACCTGGCTGCAGAACCTCACGGAACTTCCCTAACATTAGACTTTAAGATACAATTTGGTAGGAGACACAAAGGAGGGATATTATGGGAGAAATATGCACAGGTTAACTTCTCCAAGAAGACATATGGCTTATTTTCAAATGTGTCCATCTTGGCTGTCTTTGAGAACCACTCTGTCCTCGCCAGACCTCACCAGAAGTTGCTCGGCCTCTTGACAGCTTTACCTCCAGCCTCACCCTGCTATCCACTTCCTGCCTCTCACCCCAGCCTGGAGCATTGACAGTAAAGCCCTGCAGTTGCTTTCCACAGCTTTTCCTTCCTTCTAGGTGCTAGAGGACAAGGCCGGCTAACTGGAGCAGCATATGCTCCGCACAGCTTCGGCTCTCACCTGCTGTAGTCTACCAGTCACTGCTTTGTGGCCTAAGACAGGCATCTTGCTTGGTTCTGCCTACCCCACACCTACTGTCCTTTGCTTTGGTATCTGAAGTGTTTAAGCTTGGTGGGACCTTCAACAAAGGCACTCCTCCCAAGGGACAGGCTCGTGACCCAAGCTCAGCCAGTTAGACCTCTCTGCATGGGTGTTTCATTCATTAATTCACTTGTCCCTTCATCCTGTGTGTATTGTACTTCTGCCGTGTGCCAAGCCACCCAAATCTTAGCAAACACCAAACTGAGAAAGAGCTGTTGCCGCTCATCCCAGTGATGGTGTGCTGAGGGTAGGGCTCGCTGTCCACTTAGAAGGGACCCTCTGTTGTTTAAGCCTATTTTTCTGTAGATTCTGTAAGCTACCCAAATCTGTCATAAATCTCTCTTCCCATCTGAGTCTGTTTCTGTTACAGACAGTCAAGATGCCCTAGTTAGCAGGGTGGCTTCTGCCCAATTATAAGCTGTTTCGCTCCTGCTTTTGTCTATATGCCTGATTTCCACCTGTCTTTACACTAGTGTTGCCTATGGGTTGCCACCTTTAAAGTGCCCATCCATTCCAAGAAACCCAGCCTCCCATGAGCAGCCATGGCCTCTCTACTCCACCTTTTCTCACCGTGTTTCTCACTAGCAATGGCTACATTGTGCCCTGTGGCCCCCGACTGCCAGGACTACCTCATACCACGTAGCAGCCCTATCCTCACCTCATCACCAGTGTCTCATAGCTGTCCCAAGGACCTGCTGGGCTTATTTGTTATAGCATTATTTAAAAAGAAAAAAGATAATTACAACAGAAGTGGCCCATAAAGATAAAAACAAAAGTATTTTATTTTAAAGAGAAAATAAACTAAAAGGACAAAAGCAAAAATGAAAACAAAACAAAATAAAAATGATACAGAATTTCAAAACAATAGGAAATTTACAATGGTTGTTATATTACATATTGATGTCTTCAAAAAAAAGAAAATTTGTCAAAAAGAAAATACTATGAATCAGAGCTGTGGTCTATATGACATTCTCTTCCATAAGATACAGGCCAATTCTAGCCTTCTAAGGTCAATTAAGACTCAGGACATATGAGAACTTGTACTGTAACGTCATGTACCTCGGTAGTGTCCCAAATTTTCTGATCAA